GCCAACATAGCAATGTAGAGAATGAAACATAGAATTGGGACAAGAAAAACCTATTCTTAAACCAGAGGTTTCGAATAATCAATAGATTTGTTGTTTCATATGATTTGGTTAAAAGCAAAATGTAAGTTACTAAAGAAAAATGCAACTCTACATTTAGATAGAGTGGATGGTGAGGTCATGTTTAATTGTAAGATTAAACTGATTGGGAGATTAAGTGACAAGATTACTAGTAATATTAGGTTGATCAATTTGACTCAAAGAAATTTTAAAATTTATATAAGACCTGCCGTGGATAATTTTAGTTGGCTAGGGTGCGGATGCGCAATGGGGAATATGCTAGAGTGCTAATAAACGACATTGTGTACTACCATGACCCAAACTTAGACCTTCTTTAGGTCTGCTTTGATGTTGTTTGGCGCATACCTTTACTATCTTTTCCAATGGAATTGATGTTTTTATGCTATGTTTTACATAAAGTTTGGTAAGTTTCAAAGTTGATTTTAATTGATTTTGTAAAATTAAAAATTAATGATGACTTGTTGAACAAAATTTTCAATATGCCTCCTGAAGGAAGAAGTGAAGGACAGGGATATATATATATATATATATATCTTATCTGCTTCTTTGCTTTGTTCTTTAATCTTATCTCTGTCCATGAAATAACCGAACACAACCGCTCTGTTTCAGGGTATGGAAATGTTTTCTTAGGGTGGTGGCTGTGGTGGAGACATAGTGGCATGGTGATTGTGGCACCGTTGGTGGTGGTGGTGGTGGTGGTGTGGACTTGGTAAGAGTTTAGTCTTCCACACATAAACCTTTTTACCGCTAACAATAGAAAATATTTTAGTTAATTTTTGTTTTGGGTTATACAAAAGTCGGAAAATATAAAAAAATATTTTTTGCCGAAACAGGCGAGCGAAAAAGACACAGAAAAAGATGCAGCTTAGTGCTAAAGCTTACAAGAACAAAGAAAGGCCAAATATATATAGGCAAAGTTTAAAAAAAGGAAAGGAAAATCGTTAATAAATTGACTAATGATGTGAGACCAACATAGGAGCCAACAACAAGAACAAGGTATGCAACAAAGCCCCCTCCAAGACTCTCTCTCTCTCTCTCTCTCTCTCTTTCTCTGAGAACCAAAATGATGCACATGAAAAATTAACTCCAAGATTCAAGTCTAAAACTTCTACACCTCATGTAGACATTGAATTAAATGATCAACTAAATATTTACAGAAGAAAATATATGTACTAGTAAATAAGAGAACACCTTTTTTCCTTTTATACACATGTAATCTCTCTCAACAAACTGGTAGAGTACAAATATATAAATTCAATTACTGCAACTGTAGCAGTACAAGCATAGCATCTTTTATGTCCCTTAAGAACTAACAAACATAAACATGGAGAAAGAAAAGAGAGAAAAAACAAAGTTCCGCAAAACAAAGTATCAAAGAATCGCCGGTGAAACAGCCATATGTGTCTGAATATCAGGACTTCTTGTTACCCAATTTGGAATGAGGGGTCGATGTTGGTTTACTAAAAATGGGACAAAACCAACATCCAGAAGGCTTAGGAGATGGTGGAGGATCAATGGTTTTTGACGCAATTGGCTTCACTCCACTTGGCCGGCTGGAATCCATCTTCACTACAGTGGTGGATCCATCACTTTGACATTTCCTTAGCCCTCCAAATTCTTTGTTCGCTTCTTGCCTATGCTTCATGACACTCAAATCCCCGGATAAATACTTATCCTCCCATATTAGTCCTGATGACCCTTGCCTTCTGAAAGAAACTGCAGACCTTTGCAGAGAAGCCATGACCTACCCCTCCCTCTCTCTCTCTCTATAACTTTATATGGTGAAGAAGGTAAAAGTAGAAGTCTACCTAGTTTTGTCAAATCTCATTTCATATATAGAGATAAGGGTCAAGGAAAAAGAAAAGCCAAGAAAATGTGAAGAAAACGGAGAATGGTCAAAATACAGCATCTTTACAGAGGATTCTTATTGTTATAATTATGTTTACTCTAGTATGAAAGTTATTAATGCTCTTATATATGTAAGAAAATGATATAACAGAGTTCTACGTGAAGACTTTCTTGAGTGATTTCTAATTTGTTGGTTTGTGAATGGCAAATATAGGGGAATGCCAACCACATATGAGACAAAATCTCCCTTGTTATCATCAATAAATTTGGTATATAGAGGAGTTTCTGAGTATATTCATCATTCTATACAAAAGTCCACCAACAGATGAAAACGATTAAATCAATAGTAATAAACTTGATTGTATATCAAATGTGTTTTATTAGGAATTGTTTTTATTATGGAACTGTATGTGAAATAACAAAGCTTTCTATCCAGAATGTGTCTGCTTTAAAAAAATCATGTGGAGCAGACCTGTTTGGAAGTCAGGAAATATATGTTTGTGAAACGGAAATTAGACATAGTGCTGCAAAACCCATTTCATAAAAAATAAAAATAAAATAAAAAATAAGGTAATTCATGCTGTTCTGTAATGCAGTTGCGTCTGTGCATGCAAGGGCATGCGCTAGATTTTAGATACAAAAGCATTTTTAAACAGTTACCATGTAGTGTGTGTGTTCATTATTCTGTTCAAAGTCTAAATTACATCTCCGAGGATTGGTTTATCTTGCCTTAATACTAGGTTGACAATGTAAAGTCATTAAAATAATCGTTGATCTGTCTTCTTTTCTTTCTTTTTCTCGCTTATATTCACAGGACTTTCATTGGTTTATTTCAACAGAAGTTCAAATTTTGACTCTTAACGCTTTCACTAAGCCCTAGAGAACCTAAACATCATTGCCTGCTCAACCATAATCAACCTTACTATTAACAAATGTGAATAGTTTTACAGAATAACTAGAATTCTAGCAACAGGGCAGACCAAGTGAAGAACAGAGTATATATATGACCGCAAACGACATCTGACATACCATTTCTGGCAATAACAAGCAATCATATTTCGTAGGAGTCACAACTACAAGGGTTTTATAGCACAGGTTCAGCGGCTTCAAAATGTAGTTTGTGGACACCTTAGCTACCATAACAGTTTTATTTACCCCATGAGTAATCTGAATGCCACTACTCCCAATTGTTCTCATGAATACCTAATGAGCTAACAAGACGTGTATTGAATTTTATGCAGACAGTTAAAAGACTAGAGTTTATGAGAAGATAAAACGACTACAATTAGGTAGTACCCAGATAGCACAACAGGAAAATTTTCCTGGCCATTACGCTTGTTAATTTAAAAAGTAAATGTGAGGGCAAGGGGGAGGCAATACTGTCTTCAAGAAAAGGAAAAAAAAAAAAAAAAAACCCAGTTTAGTCTCCAATTAGATGGGAGTTCTTTGGCATAATTTGCACAAAGTAATTGCCCTCAGGTTTGAACCTAAAACGTCAGGGTTGATAGGAGCACCTCCTTGATAAGGATTTTAATCATATACAAATGTCAGAAGTGCTAAATCTTAGTAGTTGGCAGGGGTGGACATGGGCTGGGCTTCGGCGGGTTCAGGTTGGGCTCATACTACATTATAACACTTGAAGTAATTTCTTGAGATCGGGCCTGTACTTTATTTCCAAGCCTATCTAAAAACAAAATAAAAAAATCCCAAGCCCATCCACATGGCCTGGATTGTATTTACCATAATTTTTTTTCCATTATTTTAAATAAAAAAAATAATTAATTTAATCACTTGGGTGTCTTTTAACTTATTCAAGGGTAGTAATTCAAATTTTATAACTAATTCTTTACATAACTAGTAATACGTAATTTATGCTTATAAAAAATAAAGTTAAGCAATGTAAAACATACATATAAATATATATTTATAAAAATATATTCTATAATATAGACTATAGTTTGTGGATGGGGTGGGGCGGACTAGGCTTGAAGCCAGTTCATATTATAATTGGGCCTAAAAAATTTGCCCAACCCGGCCGTATGGGCCCTAAATTATAATCCCAAACACTAAATCATAGACAGGCTTAGCGGGCCATTGGGCACATGTCCATCCCTACTTGACATCAATTCCTTGCAATGCGCTGATGATGCTAAAGCACATGCAGGCGAATCTTCAGTTAATTGGTGTCTTGGACAATAATAACCAAAAACACATCGAAGAAGTTTTTGTTATCCTTACGAGTTTTATGGACAAAATTGTCATATGACATGTATATTGACATTGCCTACTACATCTTGACGTATCCCTATCTTGTCTCAACTTTTCTAGAATTCACCATGACACTACTCAATATCAATATGCCGGTGAACACTGGGCTCTGGAATCACCCACATGTAACTAAATTTGACACTTCCATAAAAACTAAAATGCAATTTTTTTTTATAAACTATGAAGCACAGGTACGGGTACGAGTACTGGTACTGGTACGATACGGGTACGTCGATACGGTAAAATTAAAAAAAAAAATAGGGTACGGGTACGGGTACGGCTTGGTACGCTTGTAAAAAAATATTTATTTTTAATTTAGAGTAATGCAAAAAATAATTAAATGGTTTAATTTGTTAAGGTCCAACCTATAATTAACATTTAATGCCAAAAGAAAAAGTATAAATCAAAATTAAATATCAATATATTAAACAACTTACAAACCATAGTTTAATTTTAAAATCATGCTAAGCATAAAACAAAAACTGAAAAAGAAATCTAGTGAAATGAGTTTTATCTCTATAGTAGAAGGAAAATATTGTTTCAACTGAGGTACGGTACGGCTTGGATATATACTAGGTACGTCTGGGTACGTCAAAAATTAAGAAGAAACAACTTGGATACATGCTTCGTGTACCCAGTACGTATGCAGAAGTACCATACGAGGTACGGTACGCCGGTAAGTACCCGGTGTGGGTACGGCATGTTTTTCGAAGTCCCATGCTTCATAGTTTATAAAAAACAAATAACAACAAAAATACAAAAAAGACCACTAGGGACACTTTTAGAATGAAAGCAAGCTGTTGACAGACAAAAGTTTTGAAAACTGTAGTGGAAGTCAATCAAGCAGATTCGATACATGAGCCTAATTATACACTGCTACCACTTAATTTATTGGTTTTAATAGGTCCATGAACAGTGAGTCTAATAAATCAACTTAAAGAAATGAAGAAGTGAAATAAATATGAAACATACTCTACAGGTACATTGCAAAACAGTTAAGAACACACACTACAACATATTTTTTTAAGAGTTAAATACAGTTTCAGGAGCAGACCGTTGGTATGGGAGGCGATGGTCAGGAACCCCATGTTCAGCACGTTTGTCTTCAAACCACTTCACGACTTTTTTGCGAGGAAGATTTGTCACATGCACAATGCTACTAATCATGGCATTCTGCATCAATGCAATACCACAAAAATTTACGATTAACCTTATTTCCAGCAAAGGTGAAAAGTTGTTTATCAATCAGTCAGAAACCAAAGGATTGAGGTTTACTTCTAAAATAATCAAAAAACCATGAATTTGGACATTGATATGGGAAACACAGTTGTAGAGAAAGTAATGAGGGACACAGGCAGCCCCACTAAAAAAAATGACTTCTTAGAACAATCATTTCCAATAGCCTATAGAGAACATTTAATTATAGTAAAACTAAAGCACGTGGCAGTAAGAAATGACACAAATTGCCTCAGACTCAACTGAGAACATGGCGTTTAATATGAAAGAAATGGATCCATGTAGTTGACCCAAAGTAATTGGACAAAGGTCTGTTGAGTTATTGAGTAAAACAAGATGAGTTTATGACAATTTTTTACCGATGCACAAATCACAATATTAATGCACAAGTAACATCACTCACAGTGGGCCGCTTTGTTCGGTCAAAAACTCGTTCTAGGGTTTCAACTTGCACTTTCTTCAATCTTTTCCGAGCAGACCAACTTTTTTGCATGACATGAACTGGCAGATTCACCATGGCTTCAGGTTGTGCCACATCTGCTGCTGTTTCAGATGAAACTTCTTCTAGGGGTTTACTTTCCGGCTCCGAGATTACTGAAATGGGTTTATCAGGTAAAGCAGCACTCATCAATAAAAGACTTGGAGGGGGGTCACGTAGTAATTGGAGAACAACAGCTCTATCTAGACATACATCAGCGGCAAGATTTTTGATCTGCAAGACAAGAAAAATCAACCGTAACCACAAAATACCACAAGACAGAACCTTGGTAGGCTAAGAAGCACAGGCACGAACATGAGCACTAGACACAATTATTTTCAAAAAATTAGCACACAGACACAGCAGTAACACGACAAACAAATATTCATGTCTTTTTTACATATTTTTATTTGTTATGTATATGAATCTAAATTTAGGGCACAGAGATATGAGAAGCATCGATGTATGTGGCGTGTCTAACACGTGGACATGCATGTCCACGTTGTGTTAGTGTCCAACATGTGTCAGAAATGAACACGGCACCCATTTTGGCGTGTCCATACTTTTTAGTCAGCAGGCAGCAAGGCATGCAAGGAGTAAAATTTTAATTTATGTGCAACCAACCACAAGCCAATGTTTTGGGTATGTTATGGAGTGTGTTGTTGCCAACGGTGAAATTTTGTTTTTTCACTTGCATTTTGTGTTAGAATCCTATGAGTGGAAATGTTTTTTGGCATTTTGATGGTAACAAAACAAAATTTTATTCCATGCATGCACGTTTCCACTATTGTGCACAACGAAAGTATAAAACATTTGGTAGCGTTTGGTAGAGTTTTAGAATTATGATTTGATAATAAAGTTGTATTTTGAGTTTGTGAGTTTTCGAATTATGATTTGAGTGGAAAATTTGTTTGGTTATGAGTTTTGAATTGAGTTAGAAATTTTTGATGTGACATATGATATTTGATTCAAAAACTTACAACTCATAACCAAACATACAATCCAAAATTCTATTCAAAACTCATAAAAAATTTTAAAAATATTTTTTATTTAAAATATAAAAATAACAGGTGCCAAAAAAAAAAAATAAAACGAACACTGTTCCGGTCAACCGGCCTGACGTCCGGGAGAATGACTGGATAGACGTGTTTTCAAAAGTGGGTGTGGAATCAATTCTTGAAAATTCTAACCAAGCACCACACTCAAACCAAGGGGTGGAATTAAATTTTTAAAGCTCTACCAAACAGAACCTTTTTTTTTTCTTTTCTATTTCTCTCTTTTCCCCTCATTAGATTTTCCACTGTCATTCTAAAACATATAGATCACCTCTAAAAAGTAGAATTTAAATGAGTAATATTGATGATATCAATTGGAAATAATTATAGTAGAAGTCATCAAAAATTATGAAGAGAATTTAACGATAATGTGAAAACCATATCGCTATTCAGGAAATAAATTTGCTAGGAATCATCAAAGAACTGATAATTCCCAAAAACTGGAAGTCCAGTAAACTCAATTACATAAATCCCAGCAACTTGGCCTCAGGTCTGTCCTAGTCAACAAGGCTTCTAGCTGGTCAAGTATCTGTTTTTAGGTATTGAAGGCAACAGGGCCAGATACTCCACATGCACAGTCAACAAAGAGGAACATAAATTATATCAAAATTGTAATGCTTTCTGATCTCCACCTGATTGGTGGATACCTCTATGTTCTTTTCTGCTTTCCTTTTTTCTTTTAATTAGACATTTCAAATTCTAAGAGTTGATAGCCATAGCCATCAAATCAGGGTATTTTTTGGATAACACAGGTAGCATGCACCCCAACAATGGTATTCCCTCCCCCTGGATATAAACCGCACATTCTAGAACATAAAGAACCATTGTATAGTTAATACACCGCTTCAATTTTTTCATGCCTTCAACATTAGAAGTTTAAGATATAAATTATGCGCCTGGACCAACCAAAATTATTGGGAAAATATTGCAACATAAAGATGCTTACACTAGTTTTACGCCGGCCGTTTTTCAAAGCATATGCCAGTCTTCGAATTTGCCAATTTTTAAGCTTCACTGGTTCTTCTTCTTCTTCTTCGCCATCATTATCTTCAGCTTTGTTAACTTCATCATCCTCAAGTGAATCAAATGCCCCTAATAGTTCATCATCCCCCAGTGCCTCCGCTAACTCACGTTCAAGCATTACAAGGTCTTCCTCAAGTATCTCACCATCATCATCATCAAGAGATTTATCGTCATTTTTAAGATCTTCTTCTAGCTGGCTAAAGAGTAGCTCAATAGCATCTGCATCTAAATCATCCTCCTCAGCAGCATCATTTTGAGGCAATCTTTGCTGAACATAACAAATAGCATCAGAACAATTATATAACAATTATTATATGATATAATAACAGGCACACATCAACTGCATTTAAATGATATTTTTAAGCTGGAGGCTTTTTTATTAGGTCTGCATGTGTTCCAAAGTTTATAACAAACTCCAGAAGAACGAAGGAGTGGGGATCAATATCAGAATCTGAGAAGTAATAGAGACAAAAATAGATCAGAAACTTAGAAGTTGAGTCCAACCAACAGATAAAGCAATTTAACTGTTTAAAACAGTAAAATCGGAGTGGCTCTTTGAGCAAAAGAGTAGACTGGATGCTAAAAAACCAAGAATGTCTTTTAATTTTCTCATTGTTTTGCAGTTAACCCCAGGTACGGCTGATTTCATCATCCCAGAAATTCAGAAATTGGTAGTAAGACAGTCAAACCCATGTCAGTATTTAGAGTTGATCCTTTTCACCTCAACTACCATAGCCAAGAGAATAGCTTAATAGTGTGAATATACATATGGTCAATAAACTCATTTCAAATGTTACCAATAAAAAAGTGGACTCATAAAGCTATGAAAAATGGACATGGATAAATTTTAGTTCCCTGAGATTCCAAATCACCAGAAATGAAGTTGAAGCATGGCCCCCCACATAGGCAAACAAGGTCTTGATTACATTAGTTCCAAGCTGGGTAGCTCCAAAGCAAAATCCACTTAACAACAACAAAACAAACTACAAAGAGACAGGCACACATTATGGCGGCCATGCTACATGGGTCTTTAAGCATATTACCGTTATCTGTAATTGTTAGCACCATAAATCTGCAATTTTATTATTATTTATTTTTTATATAATTGCAGGGCATGTGACATCCTCCTACTCATTTGGAGGTTGTGAGAAGTAATGAAATGTGAAAAGATGATGGAGAACAAAACGGAGAACATGGAGCATGAAGTGGAGGTTGAAGGAAGTTATGCAAAATCATGGAGTATGAAATGGAGGATGTGGAAGAGTAGATAGTTTTAGGTAGTTTTTTTCTACAAGTGCTTGCCTATAAATAGTTATTCATGGCTACATTGTAAAGGATGCAGAATTGAAATCAAAGACAATTGATTTCTATTTTTCGTCATTTTCCTTATCTTAGGAGTAGTTTAATATAGATTTCTTTTCAAAATATTTATTTTCAGCATTTTTTTTTCAAAGCATTTTTTGCACATCCTTTTCGAAGCATAGGAGTAGAGGTGAGTAATTATTACTTTGATTGTTCACTCAATCGTCTTTCTCCGTCTCCCTCATTCTTCTTTTAATTTTTCTTTTCTCTACACTTGGCAATTTTGAAATCCTCTTTGCTGAGGCAAAAGAACCGTCAACACAATCACTTGATAATTGGCTTGAATTTAATCTGTAAGGGTTTTTCAATCCTTACTGGCACACTCGCATTTATGATACTTTCTTTCATAGGAAAAATAAGCCAACAATTTTTGGCACGCCCAGTGGGACTGCCAAGTGTAAGAAATGACAAACGATCTGGATTTCGCCATTTGAACTTGTCAATATGAAATATATTGGCATGAAAGAAAAATTTTGGACCTTCAAGAAAAGATCTATTTTCTTGATGAAAAAAATTTCCAAGTTGTTTCTTTATTACCATATTATTTGGTAAAAGAAAAAATACACCACTTAATTGGAGTAACTCATCAACTTGATGTGAAAATTTGCCAATGGAGACATGAGTCATTAACCCTTTTTGTCAAGTCTTTAATGACTAAATTTTGTGGGGTTTTACAAAATGTTTTTAAGCCATTTGTGACTGAAATTAGTGAAAATATAATTTCATCAATGACTTGGGGGGTCGAAAAATCCATTTTTAAAAAGCCAACTTATGAAAATAACTTTGATAAAAAGTATGTTGTTGAGCCAAGCATGGTTAAAAATGATGTTCCATATAGAGCTCAAGGGGTTGAAAAAATCATTCTTAGAGAGTCAAACCATGGAAACAACATGTCTATGAAAGATTTTCATAAGCCATTAATGGCTAAAATGGAACAACCCATTAAGCCAAAAAATGATGAAACTCACATGGAGAGTTTTCATAAGCCGTTAGTGGCTAAAATAGAAAAACAACCCCATTTGTCAATAAATGATGAAAGTTATTTGGCTAGAGAACATGTTCTCAACCCAAACATGGCTCAGAATAATAAACAATTTAATGTTCATGAATTTGAATTTTTGAAATTGTTCAAAATGTCAAGTTGTTTGAATTTTTAAGGCCATCTTGTACTATGGTTCTTGGTATTCAAAACCTGCTTTGGATTTGTGGCTCACACCAAAATATAATTCTAATGATGTGGCTAATAAAATTAACAAATTGTTTTTATGAGTTCGAAGCACTAAGAACAGGGGATGACCATTTAAAATGCATGAACTTGGCTAGAAAAAGCCTATGCATTTAAATAAGTGGTTGAAAATGGCTTATCTTTTCAAATTGATGGCCAGTTGTTTGTATGTACACAATCAAAGTATTGAAGATACATTCGAAGCATCAAGAGTTGTTTCGAAGGTTGATTACTTCACCTTCGAAGCTGTATAAAGCTTTGAAGATACATTCGAAGCATCAAGAGTTGTTTCGAAGGTTGATTACTTCACCTTCGAAACTGTATAAAGCTTCGAAAATACATTCGAAGCATCAAGCCTAACCTTGAAACTTCATTGTAAGTATCATCATCCTATATCAATGCTTCCAACCTTCGAGAGGTGATGTTGTTCCTTCAAAGTTATGCCGCAAGACCTTCAAACGATGAATTTGGTCTTTTATACCACATTCGAAGCTTGTTATTGGTCATCTTCATAATTTCATGCTCATTCGAAGTACTTTATTGATGTTGTTATATCATTCGAAGCACTTTGTTACTTAGATTAGTTATGTGCTTGGTTCGGCCCTTCAAAAATTCAAGTAAACATCATTTTTAAGGGTCGCGGGGGTAATGTTAGCACCATAAATCTGCAATTTTATTATTATTTATTTTTTATATATTTGCAAGACATGTGGCATCCTCCTACTTATTTGGATATTATGAGAAGTTATAAAATGTGGAAAGATAATGGAGAACAAAGTGGAGAACATGGAGCATGAAATGGAGGTTGAAGGAAGTTATGGAAGATCATGGAGTATGAAAAGGAGGTGGTGGAAGAGTAGGTAGTTTTAGGTAGTTTTTCCTACAAGTGCTTGCCTATAAATAGCCATTCATGGCTACATTGTAAAAGATGCAGAATTCAAATTAAAGACGATTGATTTCTATTTTTCTTGTCATTTTCCTTATCTTAAGAGTAGTTTAATATAGATTTCTTTTCGAAGCATTTATTTTCAGCATTTTTTTTTCAAAGCATATTATGCACTTCCTTTTCGAAGTATAGGAGTAGAAGTAAGTAATTATTACTTTGATTGTTCATTCAATCGTCTTTCTCTGTCTCCCTCATTCTTCTTTTAATTTTTCTTTTCTCTACACTTGGCAATTTTGAAATCTTCTTTGCTGAGGCAAAAGAACCGTCAACGCAATCGCTGGATAATTGGCTTGAATTTAATCTGTAAGGGTTTTTCAATCCTTACTGGCACGCTCACATTTATGATATTTTCCTTCGTAAGAAAAATAAGCCAACAGTAATATAAAAAGAGGCAAATGGTCGGTCCTTCCAAAGGTACTTGCATGATCTAAACATAAAAACATATCAAAGATTTTAAACTAGCTGATATAAACAACTCAGCTGATCCAAGACTATATGGTGATTGAAACTCATAATTCAAATATCTTAGTTGGACTCCACTAATTGTTTTGGATGCATACAAGAAGCAACACAATTGTTTGGTTCATCCGCACACAGAGTTCAGGAATTTGAAACACAAAGTTTTGGCATGTACCTCATATTTTGTTTTTCAGTTTACTTGCAATTTGACATCTTACTAACATGGATTTAACTATTCCATAGTTGGATGTAGATTTTTGTTCACTCCATTTTAAGTCAATTTGTTTTATGCTTTCATTTTAGTAGATAAATGATTTGAAATGTAGAACAGGTAGCACAAAAATATGAACACATAATTTCTTTATCAATTTTTCTCTCTTTTTGTGGTTCTTATTTACAGATTTTATGAAGCTAATATAATGATACAAAAATTCTCCATCTATTTGAGAAATCAAAATTTTGCCTTCGCATTCAAATACAAGATTCTCACTCAAATAAATTGCATTGCAAACCCTAAATTCCACAGTAAATATACAACTTAAACCAATACTAATTTAAATCGAGAAAAAAAAAACATAAATAAAATGAAAATAAGAATATCATCAAAACAAATTAAACCCAAATTAATTCGACATAATACAGTTACACACACATACTCGCACACTTCATAGCTCAAATTCTAAGAATTGGTTTGGTTGCTTGGAAATAGTAGGACAAATCAGAAGAGGGCGCACACTTAAAAACAGACTCTAATAACTTTCCCCCACTGTTTCATTCTCTAAAATTTTCTTGGAAACCAAACAAAGGTTGATTCTTTGATGGGAAAATATTGTATGTACCTTCTTTTTCTTGGAAGATGTTATGGGAGTGTTGGGATTGTTGCGGCGGCGAGAGAAGGTGATGACGGGGCGAGAGGAGGGGTGACGTGGCATGATTAGATTGGGTCTGAGGTGGGGGAGCATGGGACGTTCGGTGTGGGGAGCTAATAAAGATTGGAGAGCCATGGAAGAGTGAAAAGATGAAGCAGAAGCCATCTCTACTGAGACACTACTGAGAATGAAAAAGGAGAAGAGAGTCAGAGGGTGATATGATAACTAGTTGATAACCCCTTTGGAGAGAGAGAGGGCTTAATGGTAAATATAATTAATTTTTTAAATAAAAAATAAAAATTAGTGATATTTATCAAATAAAATTAGTGATGTTAATAAATAAAAAAATTCCAAATTAGTGATCAACAAAATGAATACAAATAATATATAAACTAATACAAACTTTAATAATTAAACTCACAAATTTTTTTTCAGATAACACAAATAATTTTTGGAAGGTAAAATTTATAATTAAAATCCTCTTTTTGTTTTGATTGTAAAAATATAACTATTTATTTCGATGATTTTTTATTATTATTATTCCATTTTCGTCAGTAAGTGAAAAAATCATTAAAGATGATCAGCATTCGTCGATGGTCGGTGATGGGGTGATGGTGGTATGAACAGATAGATAGGTAATACTAGACAAATTAGTTACGTAAACAGATAGGTAAAATAATGAACAAATAAAAAGAAGGGAATTTTTTTACAACTCTGCTACAGAGCCCGAAAGGTTTCGAGCCAAATTTGGCTCGAATTTGAGAAGGAGGAGGAAGAAGAAGAAGAAGAAGAAGAGAATGAGGAAGAAGAGAATGAGGAGCAGAACTGGAGGGGGCCCTAAAAATAGGGCTGGAGGCGGAGGCGGAGGCGGAGGCGGAGGCGGAGGTGGAGGCGGGCGGAGGCAGAGGCGACGATCGGCCGACGACCAACGAGCTGCGACGATTGGCCGACGGCCGACGACGAGCTCCCACCTCTCCCCTCTGTTTCTCTCTCTCGCCTCTGCTTCTCAGGTTCAAACGAAGAAGAAGAAAAAGAAAGAAAAGAAAGAAGAGGAAGGGAAAAAAAAAAAATCAAAACCCAAAACGACGTCGTTTTGGGTTTTGAGCCACATTCGGGCCACTAATTTCGGGCCCTCAAACATTATTCATTTTTTTAAAGGTCTTAATATTAAGATTTTATAAGATAAAATACATACAATATTTTTATAGTAATTAGGGTTTTTCAACATTTTTACATAGAAAATTTGACATAGAAAATTTTCAATTTATACAGAAAATTTTCTCTAATATAACTACGGAGAAATTTCATCGAGAAACTTTAACTAATAAAAAAACATACACATTCAATCCCTTCTATTACCTAAAATTGGAGAGAAATGTTTCATTAACTTTATGTAAAAATAATATAATTATTCAAATTGCTATTGTCCATAACCCAATTAAAATATCCAACCCTAGACCTTGGTTTTTGTCACCTGTAGGTAGACTCAAATTGAATATGGATGGCAGCAGGAGAGTTGGTGGTGATAGAGGATTTGAAGGTCTAATCAGAGGTGAAAGAGAGTGTGTGGTTACTATGAAAATTTGCACAGTGGGACAAGTTTAGAAACTGAATTGTGGACTTTGTACAAAGGATTGACTGTTATATTACAAAAATAAATGAACCAAGTAATGATTGAGACTGATTTAGAACAGGTGGTGCAATTAATGCAAAAGGAACCAGGCAACATATGTCCATTCAAGAACCTGGTGGAGGATACTCAAATATTACTCAGAGGGTGTGAATACTTTGTGCAACACATATGGAAGGAAGGAAATTTGTGTGCAGATTTTTTTTGACAAAAATAAGAGCCAACCAACCAGAAGATATGCGGGTGATGAATGATCCACCGATTGAGTTAAGAGCATCCACACCAAACTCTTTAAATTTTTAGTCAAATTAAAACTATTTCATAATTTTAGCTAATCACTTTTTAGCACCTACTGCATCAAACTCTTTATTATAACTTATTAAACATTATTTTTCTTATTATGTTTGTTAGCCTTTCTTTTTTTATTAAATTGATAAGTTACCAGGTAAACAATTTTTTTAAAAAATAAAAATAAAAAAAGGTCATTGACCAGTTGACCGGCCGAGAGTTCAGCCGAACTTTCCATCGATGAATAGTGCCTTACTTATTGTAACAAGTTACAGTAGCACTCGTAAATTAATAGCGAGATTGATAGAGACCTGTTTTTTATGAACAATATCATCAAACTAACTAAAAAACGACTTAAATTAGTTTGATGTGGATGCTCTAAGAGAGTTGTTAGAGTCTAACATGATATGAATGACTAGAGAAAGAGGGCTTAATTCCTCATTTTGTAGTTTTATTTCCGACGTACCCACCAAAAAAAAAAGATTATTGCCTAAAAAATTCAAAATTTAATTTATGGGCCACTAGTACTTAGGGGTATAATTCGGACGGGTTCAGTCAGGTTGCGAGATTGTTCAAGCTCAATCCAAGTTGTGCTAAGACCTGCCTAGACCCGAATTGTAACCTTTGATGTGGATGCTCTAAGAGAGTTGTTAGAGTCTAACATGATATGAATGACTAGAGAAAGAGGGCTTAATTCCTCTTTTTGTAGTTTTATTTCCGACGTACCCACCAAAAAAAAAAAAAGATTATTGCCTAAAAAATTCAAAATTTAATTTATGGGCCACTAGTACTTAGGGGTACAATTCGGACGGGTTCAGTCAGGTTGCGAGATTGTTCAAGCTCAATTCAAGTTGTGCTAAGACCTGCGTAGATCCGAATTGTAACCCGATATTTTTTGTCCAAACCCGACCTGAGTTAAACTCGAGTTGTTCGAATTGTAAATAAATTTCAATTATTTATTTATTTGTAGCTACATTATTAAATTATTAAAATTTGACTCTATTTATATTTTTTAATATAAAAAATCTTTAATATCATCAAAATAAATAATTTATATAATGTGAGAGACATACCATTATAGTAATCTTTATAATTTATGAGTGAAAATAAAAAAGTAAGATTTTATATGATTTGTATATATAATATATATTTAATATGATTAAATAATCTAAATTATGTTAATATCATGTAATGACTAATAATTTATATGTATATTTAATATTTTTATATATCTATATATGTATAATTTGGGTTTCGAATTGCTCGAGTTGTTTGATATTTTTGTCCAAACTCGTTCAAATTTAATTCAAACTTCTGAATTTTTACTTAAACCCATACCAAATTTGAAAATATCTAATCTAAGCCGTAAAAAAATTTAAACTGAGCTCCAATTATTTGGATTGAGCCTGCGCAAATTGCACTCCTGCCAGTACTATCCTTAAAAATTTACCTAATTGTGAAATTAAATTAAAAATTGACCCTAAACAGAGAATATTGCCTTTTGTGCATTGGCTTGTGATTGGTTTCGAACTCCCAAACAGTCCTTTGTTTTCTCTCTCTAATTCATCATCATCATCATCATCATCATCATCTTCTTCCTCTTCTTATTCAATTCTCTCTCTAAAATGGCAACTTCTTCATCTTCTTCAAAGGGGTGGTTGAATAATCTCTCCACATACGCATCTCGCATATATTTCTTCCTCATCATCCTCCAGATCCCTCTTTTCAGGTACCCAATTCACTCTTACTCCACCTTAGCTCTTCACTTTTGCCAATTATAAAATCTCTCTCTCTCTCTCTCTCCCTCTCTCTCTCTCTCTCACACACACACACACAGTGATCTTCATTACCCAACTTTTATTTTTCATTTTCAAGCTGGGTCTTCACTCAATTTCTTGTCTTCATCGTCATTTGGCATCTCGGTATTGCTTATTTTTTGATGAATTTATGCCATCTTGCTCTGGTTGACTCGTAGTGAAACAAATGATTGATACACTTGTTTTGATGTAATTGGATTCTACAAGATGTTTCATATCATGTTTATGGGTTTGATTTATAGTTTATTGGTCCAATTTGAAGCTTTTTCATGAAAGTTATGTGCTTGTGTTGGTGAGTTTATATTGTAAAATCACGAGATTTAGTTTTCTCTCAAACTGGAACTTGGATTTAATATAATTTTGAGTGTTTGGATATTTCTAACTATGATTGCAAAATTATGAGATTTCTCTCAATATGGAACTTGGATTCAATATGAAGAGTGCTTGGATATTTCTTACTGCCATATGATATGATGCGTTGAAACAAGAAAAATCTTTCATCTATGTGACAGTAATGTGAAGCAGTCGAGTAAATTAAGCTCGGCAAACTTATCCTAGTCCACAGTAAGCCTTCTATTAAGATGGATTGGTTTATTTAAGGATTAAAGGAGGCCCTTAGAGTTAAGGCAGTGTTTGATGAATCGAAGTGCACATTAATAGCAAAAATTTAAGATCTCAATAGTCTCAACATATATGCAAATAAAATCTAAATAAAGCAAAACTTTTTTTTTTTTTCATACCTCAAGTGGTTCAGTAGCACACACCAGTGTCAAAGCACTTTCCAATTAAGTTCTGTCTAAAAAGCAAGCTTCCACTTTCATGAAATTCATGGATTGATAAGTTGATTAATGGGTGGCCACTTCATACTTTTCTTGAATCTGGGGGTTCTTTTGATGTTTGAAATATATGTTTATCTTACCATTTGTGAATGAATGACTAGCCAAGTTCTTCCTGATGCTGTAGGATTTGGGCTTGCTTAGATTTTTTATACTTAAATTCATTATGTAACTTACCTTAATATGATAATAAGTCACCAGGTACTATCAAAATTTGTTGGATTCAATTGTATTATAATTATATTAACCGCACAATTTTTTGAATCGTTGCGCTTGTGGCAACAAATGGAAACTAAACAATATAAGATACATAATATTTTACTCTTAAATGCTATTGCATATCATTTGCACCACATTTCAATGTCATGATCACATCTTAACACTCTTGATTTATACTGTATGACATTTCCAGTAGTTACTGAAATGATTAGGATGGTAGTCGTTTTTCAGTTTTGCACATGCCTGAATACTTTAGGAAGAAAACTTCATAGATTTTGGCTGCTGACTGCTAGTAGTAACTTTAACAATTGACATGCTCCTCAATATAATTGCCTTATCACAATCTGATATGCTATCAAATAGGTCTTGTTTTCTCTCAGGCCCCGTTTGTTTTCAGAGGTAGAATGGAGAGAATTTATAGTGAGAGGATTAATAGCGAGGGGATTGTTAGCGAGGGGATTGATAGTGAGGGGATTAAGTAAAATTGTGTTTATTTTGATGATAGTTGTTAGTGTAAGAATTGTTAAATTATTTTTATATAAAATAATAAAATAAATAAAAAAATATAAAAAATTAAACATTAATATTTATAAAAAAATTCCCAAAATAAAAAAAATAAAAAAATTTCTAATCCCCTCACTATTTTTCTAATACTATCTCCCCAACCTCCATCTCAATCCCGTGCCCAACCTCCATCTATATCACCTTCACCATCATAATCTTTTCCCCAACTCTACAAACAAACACAACACTAAATAACACCTCCACCATCCTAATCCCCTTCCATCTACATAACCCAAAACAAACGGGCCCTCAGGGTGTCAAAGTTATTGTCTAACAAGTATTTGTTTTGTAATTTTGAAGAATGACAGCTGAAATCTAATAAACGAATAGAATTAGAACTGTGTGCTACTTGTTCAGCCTGTTATTGATGTTTTGTGTTGATTTACCAGGGTTCCATGTAGAGCTGGTATGTGTACAACTCCTATTCATGTCACATCTTCCCAGTTGATTGCAAGTGAGATTGTCCCTGTTGGTGCAGTGAAGGCACTTCTCTATCCTGGAGCAGTTGCAAATAGTCTCATCAAGAACATGACTTTTCCAAGCTGGAATAATCTGATAAGCATTTATAACTTGACTGATGTGAAGAGAGCTTCTGCAATGACCGATCTACAGCGGTTGGAGGTTTGATCTTGAACTTCTCTTCTTGCTCTTTCTTTTTTTTACATTTATGCGGGAAAAAAAAACTTGCGCAGTATTAGTTCGAGGAAAAATTCAAAATAAAGAAACAGTTCGGATGAAGTATTCTGATTGGAAATGTGTTCTTTCTGCTGATGAATAATAACCCTAGTCCTGGTATGAGTTTTTTATTCTTTTGAAATAATGACAACCATACCTAAGATTTCTTTAAAAAAAACTATTGCAGGCTGGCAGCCTTAATCAGTTATTATTGCAGATTTAACATACTCAATATGCACTTCTCCAATGCCATTCTGTACATAAATTTGGCAGTCATTCTTTTGGATGGCTTGTAAATTTTCTAATAATTATAAACTCGTTGTTTTCAGAGATTACTTCTGAAAATCTTCTTTTAACTTCTGAGAAAAGAAAAAAAAAAACAATAAAATGAACTTCTCTTTCAATGCTTTGTTATTAAGCTTGTCTGACAAGTCTACTCACTTTTTGTGTGTAAAAGTGTGTTATATGATAAAAAGTGATAAAAGTGGGATACAATTATGTCAAGTATTTGCAAGTTTTGAGAGTGAATGGATGCTCCAATGGTGTAGTTGAAGTGTGTTAAATGTTAGGTAAGCGTGGGGTTTGCTTAAATGTACATGTGAAGAGAAAAAATGATTAAAAAATTACAAAAAGGGTGTGGAACCCACCGCCTCTCTCTCTGTGTAGCGACAGTTAGCAATGACAGTAACTGTAAAGCTAGTTAACAATCAGAAAAGAACAAACTTTGGAGACAAAATAAAAAATAAAAAAAATGAACTAGCTAACTGGACAAATATTTAACTCTAATGGCCTCTTGGAGAGCCCATTGATGATGCTCCTGTCCTGCATCTATGGCCCTTATTCACTTCCCGACTCCACTTTGCAATTCATGATCCCCATTTTCTGTTTTACCTTTTATTTTTCACAATCTCTTTTCCTTTTGTAAATAATGTGCGTGATCAGAAACTGGCTGTATTTAGAAAAAACAGATAATGTTGTGTTACAGCTTTCCATTTGGGGGCAGTTAGAAAAGCATTTTGTTTTTGTTACCGCAAAACCTTTGGAAAAAGGAGGATGTTCCTTCTCTTGTCTCTCTCTTAATTGACTTTTTGATAACCCTAGCTTTAAAATTAATTCCTTCTACATCCCACATCCCCTTTAGGATTCTTTCTAATTTTCATTGCTTTTCCACCAGGTGCTTGCTGGTAGCTACTTTTCTGTGGCAGGTGCAGTCATTGGTATTCTAAAACCCGGGAGAATGAGCATGTTCGGAACACTTCTGGTAATCTGGGGCCTTGTCAAGGAAGGGATCCTTGGAAAGCCAGTGAATACAGATCCAACAAAATCAATTTTCGTCTACCCAACGATGTTTATTGCGATGGTTTGTGCCTTCTCTTCTGTCAAGTATGATGTAAAGAAGGTTGCGAGAAGTGTCCCGGCTCGTCCTGTTGCAAAACCACTGCAGAGCTCTTCAAAATCCAAGCTGAAATGAGTCGAAATGTATTAGTGACCAGAATGAATCTCATTTTTCCATTGTCATAGTTTGTGAGTTCAAACTGTGTACCAAAAATTTTCTTCATTTTGTACCCTTTTTTGTCACAATCATGAATGATATTCTGCCCATCATAGTTTTTGAAGGCATGAAGAAACTCCCTGATGTGTTCTTTGTTGGTTTAGGAAACAGAAAAGGAAGTGCAAATTCTGAAATACGTGTCTCTGTTTGATATTGTTCTCGTTTTCTGTTTTCGTTTTTTGATAAACACATAAGTACGCTGATAATGAATTGAAATGGGTACACCCAAGGCATGGTATATGCTTGGTCAAATATAGATTTAAAGTTATTATTAGCTAGTATAGGATATTCCGCCTGCATTAATCATAAATCACCAGCGGCATGAATGGTATCAAATGCTTCTGTGTGTTGTATATATCTGTGAATTCTCTTAGTTTTTGTTAGATAAATGCAATAGGAAAAGGCCAATGCTTGGCCTGCTAGATGAGGGTCACCGAATGGAAAAGGTAAAATGGGAAGAAATTTGACTTGCATATAATCACTGATTTTGACATAATAGTTGGGACATTATTTGTGTTAAATTTGACAAGTATCAAGTAACAAGATCTTAAAAAAACATGCCTTGATTTCAACTTGCATGAAGTGACTGATGAATGCAAATTGCAATACTGCATAACCCACATAAAACTCTTTTACAGAGATGCTCTTAGATTATAGTCTCATCCCATGTACGAAGAACCTATTTCCTCTGAATGTAAGAGAATTGTCCTCAGTCGCAACACACCATAAATGGCCTTGCAGCTCCAAATCTCCTTTCATTCCTGCCGTTTCACGTACAAACTTGAATAGCCGAAGAGCCCTGTCCAATTGCTTCATACCACCTTGAACCATCTTGTCCTCATTCGATGTCAAAATCTTCCCCATACACAAGCAAAACTTGTAATCGCCGTCACCACCACTCTCATAAATCCCACCACAAATCTCTACTCCAATATCTCCAACACTGCCATAGAGATAGTACAATAGAAGCGTGAACAAGCATCTCGATGAATGACCCAATAACTTCGTTAGCTTCTTCTGAACTAAACTTTCTTGATGCCGATTCTCCTTGTATCCAATATTCTTATTTATCAACACATCCCTAATCTGAAAAAGCCCCTCTTTCATGATCTCAATCTTCGTATAATGAAGAAGTGACTCCTTTTCATTTCTCAAGCAATTCATAAGGTCATTGAACATCTCAAGAATATCTTCCCATTTATCCGAAACTGGTGAATCATTGACTTTTGAAGGTTTAAGGCGCATCCAAGAAGTGGAGTTGGGATCATAAGAATTAGCAGCATCTAAGAACTTCAGACAGCTAGAGACTATTTGCAGACCCATCCTTGTCCCTTTGGTTGGACAATGATGACTCAGAAATTCAATCTCTGATTTCAATCCTATCAGTACCTCCTCAAGTGCACCAGTCCATATCTGGTGCTGTGTAACCTGTGGGCATATTGCTAGACGCACCAACTTCCTCTGCTGAGCAGAAATGTTTAAGAAGTTGCAAACTTTGGTTATCGAAGTCACAGTTATTGGCTCTCTTTGGCTTGGTTTACTAAAACAAAGAGGCGGTATAGCCTTTGCGTTCTTTAATGCTTGCTGCATCGTAGGAGACCCAAGAAAGACCCGGGAAAGCGACTTAAAAGTATGCATACTTTGTTCAAGATAGTCATCAACAACTATTGAATTGTCATCGATGTTAACAAGCCTTCCGTCAATCAAATCCACATTTTTCAACAAGTGGGTCAATTTCATTAGCTTTGGAAATGCCTTCTCATTCCATTCAGAAAGTAAAGGTTCTTCATTTGAATCTTCAGAGCAATGATAAAATACTACTCTCAGATGCATAGCCATATTTTGCTTCCTGGGAAGATGTTTTGGGCGATAAAGAAGGTTTTGCACTAGTTTATAAGCCATTATTCGCCAGTCGAAACACAAAAGTCACTAATTGTTCATGAAATTTTTGAACTCTGATTCTCCATTTTCCCCAAGACCCAAGGCTGCAACATCAAAACCCAATTGCAATATCGGTGCGACATTTTATCGAACATGTTGTAAGCATCTTCCCTGAAAAATTACAACTGTTCAAGCATAGCCAATGAACGATAAACCCAAATGCAATACCGATAATTCATTGCTGGTACTTCTGTGTGGCATTTTATCGAACACGTTGTAAGCATCTTCCACGACAAATTACAACTTGTTCGAGCATAGTCAATGAACTATATGGATATCATTAACACGGCAGGCAATGCGTATTTTGCATAGCTAATCATAGTCGACACAATTTTTGTTAGACCAATGTGAATTGTCATCGCTGATGCTCTGAGTATAATTTTTCAGAGTTGAATTAATTAGAAGTGTCAATGAATCAGTAAAAATTATAATTGTTTGGTGGGCTATGAACAATGCTGGATTTTGGGCTTTTCAACCAGGCCTAAAATTGAAAGGTCTACAAATATTGGGGGCATTCTATTTGAACCTAAAAAATATGTCAATACACCCAATTTATATTTATAAATTTTAATTTCTATTATATTTTAATATGAATTTATCAATAAGGGCAATACATATTAAATCTTAAAATAAATTTTTTTTTCTCCCTCATGGTACACTCTAATCCATTATTCCTATTGAAAATTCTATATCTTCTTTCCCAAGAGATCAACGTTATTTTGCCTCATTCTTCTTCTTCTTGTTCTTCTTTCTCACTCCAAAACTCCAATTCATCCTATCAAAATTCACCATTATCATTAATATTATTGTTTTTTATTATTTTGAAACTCTAAATTCTAGAAGAAAGTTTGAACAATGAAACAATGAATGAAAGTGATAATCAAGATAATTTTCTGAAGCAACCCATCAAAGAGGAGGTAAGCATTCATATAAAAATCAAAATATAATTATTAATTTTTGTATTTTTTCACATGTCCCATTACGATGTTAAATCTTTCAATTTTTAGAATCATATAAATAGCATTACAACTTTTAATAAAAAATTTCTTTGAGATGATCTTTGAACTCAATGATCATATTAGTATCCTTCACACAAAAAAGCGAGCTATATCCTGTGGCACTTTTTAATAAAAAAAAAATTCTGTCCTTTTACTCTTTCTTTCTGTTGAACTTTATGTTTGTTCTGAAAAAAAATAAATAAAAAAAATTATTGTTTCTATTATTTTCTTCTTGCATATTTTTTATGCACATACACTTAAATTGTAAAAAAATATAGAAACAAATTCAATAAAAGAGGTAAGCCAAGCAAAATAGTAGAGTATTTTTCCATTCAAGCATTTTGTCAAACAAATTAGAATAGCAAACCAACAATAGAATTGTCAAATACATAATAATTAACAAATTGTTATAGCAAAATAGCAAGAGAAGAAAGAGATAGAAAAAACCAGAGTCAATGAGATAAAGCTTGTCAATGGTAACTCTGATTATGGAGTCCTTCACCGGTGCCTCCTGTATATCAGTTTGAAAGGTTTTTCAAATATATATATATCTATTTTTTAATTTGATTATTATTTATTATTTGAGTTTATTAAGGGTAACTTAGAAAAAATTATAAGATGTACTCAGAGTAATATAAAATTTTAAATAATTGAAAAGGTTGTGCTTAAAAATATGGAGTATTTAATAATTTTTGGGGTAAATAAAATCCCCCAAATATTGGAGATTATTGGGCTGAATGAGTCCAGTCCTGTAGGCCCAAAAACTACGATGACATAAGTATAATTTTAAATTTGGGTCGAGCTTCTAAGAAATTAAACTTAAGAGAATTTGAGATGATTGTTAGACGCACCATAAGTCTCACTAACAGATTCTATTTGCACTTAAATAGTAGTGAAGTACGTTCAAATAAAATTTTAAAATTTTAATTTCTATTATAACCTAATATAAATTTATTAATAAGGATAATGCACATTAAACTCAAAAATAAAATATTATTTTTTTCTCATGATACATCCTATTCACTTATACTTAATCAATTTAGGATTTTATAGTTCATAAAAGAACTGAGTTTTAGGGTTAAGAAATTTCAAAACTCTAAAGAATAGGTAAGTCCCTTCTCTTCCAACTAAAATTTCAACCGATGTCTTGTTTAATCTGCAAACCTTTACACCATATAAGATCTGCTATTGTTAGAATTTCTTCACTAACGCACCACAATCTTTATTTCATTTGAATCTATCCCTTTTCATCATCAGCAGCAGTAGCACTCGAGGGTAACCAAGTTGCTCCGTCTCCCAGCTCAACTTCGAAGGAACAAGTTCACGGCGAGGAACATGCTCCTATAATAACAAAAACGTAAAATATAAATAATGGTATCTAATTTTTCAACTACCATCTTCACTATCAGAAGCAAATATATCATAAAATAATCAGTCTGGAGAAGCAAACATGATGTCAATTGTTATAATACGCATTATGCTCTTCAAGCTTGTGTGCTACTCAATATTGAAACTATGTGAGAATTCGGTGTGCCAATTGTGAACAAAGTAATAGGTGTAATGAAATCTGTTTAAGGGTTATTGAAAGGGTTTTTTTTTAAATGATGTAATTTGGAGTTTTTGATATTTATTATTTAGATGTATCATAAATTATGATTTGGAAAAAAATATAAGGTGTACTGACAATAAATAATAAGTTTAAATAATTTAATAGAGAATACTAAAAAATTAGACGTACTAAATAATTTTTTAAATGCAAATAGAATCCCCGATCTGACTTTATTTATTTAAACAGTTGATTTTGTATAAAATTATGTTTATATTATTCACCTCCAACTTTGTGGTTGCAGGTTCTAATCACCAGAATCAATCTTTTCATTAAAAAAAAACAAGGGTAAGCTCTACAATCTCTCAAACCTTGTAAAATTGAGTCTTGCACACTAGGAAAAACTACCATTTTTAAAACAACCAGTTAGACCCATGAATCAACATCAGCTTATATCAATCATAAGGCACTACTAGGCCAAAATCTAGTGGTAATATTTTTTAGAAAGTAAATTTAAATTTGACTTATTATTTGAGTTCTTAAATTAAATACATTTTTAAAAAAAAAAAAATTCCACAAATTTTGTATAGGAGAATGTTGATTCATTTAGTCTTATGAATCAATTAGTCATTTTTATTTTTGAAAGTTATATTTATTTGATTTGGTGACATATATTATATAAGTAAAAGGGGTTTCTAACCACAAGTTTTGTGGGAATTCTAATATCTCAAACTAAAATTTCAAATTTTTTGATTTTAAATAATTAAAAAAATCTTCAATAGCTCTCATTCAAGAAACAAATAAATAAATAAATAAAATAATATTTGTTGATTTATGATTTTCAAATAGAAAGTATATCAAATTTATAAAATAAAAAATAGAAAGTATACTAATCCATTTCAAAATTCAAATTTGAGAGGCACTAAATATGGAAAGTATTCCATTAATTTAAATTTCAAATTATATAATTTATCCCATAATATATAAGTTTTAAATAATTATCTATTCCATGATTTATCTACATATCTATATTATTATAATTGCAAAATATTGACATTTTATTAAGGTTGAAAGTTGTAATTCTTTTTTTTTTTTTTTTTTTTTATTCTGTTTAATTTTTTGTTAATACGTGTTACAAGATGATTGGTCTATAAATTAATTTTATATTCTTAAAATAAAATTTCAAATTTGGATTCTTACTTAAATTATGTTATTATAATTGGAATGAGATCAATATTCATTCCTTAAATTTTGCATCATTTATTAAATTATAAAATAAAATTTCAAATTTAAATTCTTCTTCAAATTATATTACTACAAGTAGAATGAGATCAATATTCACATATGTTATAATATTATTGGTCTAAATATAATTTGTTTTAAATACATGTGTTCAAATTATTAATCGTTATTAATTTTTTTTTTGTTTTAAATTTTATAAAAAAAAATTATATCATTTTGAACTATAAGTACTTGAACAATAATTTTTTTTAACAAAAGAATAAAACATAACTTTTTTAATATTGAGATGGTGATTTGTGACCTGGAGTTGGGCCGAGGCAACGGTCGAACAGGTTGAGAGCCCAACGGTGCATGGGGCCGAGATGATCGACTATCCGCCCAGAGATGGGCTGCCAGAACTTGGACCGGGCAGAACTTGGGCCAAGTGTGAGCCGCCCCGGACCGAAAAGAAACTCGGCAAGGTAGTGCTCGGTTGGATCGAGCTGCCTGATCAGGGGATGGCTGAAACCAGACAGGCTGAGTGACCGGCGCCCGGAAAGGCGTGGTCAACCGAGGAGACGGTTTGATCGGCAGGAAGGCCGACCAAAGGAGGTGCCCGGGCTAGGCTCTGCCGAGATGCCGCCTAGCCCGGTCCTCCTTGGTCTTGGCCAGTGAAGTGCTTGGTATGAAGCACGGCCCGGCATGGCAACGGATATAGCGCTCGGCTGCCGAGACTCCACTGTGAAGGAGGCAGGTGAGATTAGGTGATGTTCAGCAAGGTTATATACTGACAGATGGGATAGCGGAGCCAACGTGTCAGGAGACGACTGGGAGTAGATACGGGGCACAGAGGGTATATAAGCATGTCTGCGCCCCCTATACGCGACGGAATGAACACTTTGTAAGGAATTCTTACATCAAAAACACCTCCTCTCTCTCTCTCTCTCTCTATCTCAGGTGTGTGCTAACTTGATCGTCGAGGGTTTTTCCGGCCACAAACCGCCAGGTAGCTCACCATTCTTTGCGCGCAGGTGATCGACATAAACGGAGCTTGGAAGAAGGAGTACGGGCTTGCCGGAATATTTGCTCCCCGTACAATTAGCGCCGTCTGTGGGAAATCTTGAAGACAAAACCCTTGTTTTCCAGGTTCATCTGATCGCCGTCCATGGCGAACAACGATGAGTTTCCGTTGTCTGCCATAGATGGAGCTACCCCGGAGTTCACCCGAAGGAGAGAAGGCCCTCTCGCCATCCATCCAATGGCGGGCTTGGGGACGCCCACCGGCAGACAGTCAGGAGACGGCGCAGGACAAGCGCGGGAAGAAGTCACGGACATTCATGGAGTCCGACGGTCACCGGCGGAGGAGAGACTCACACACCAGGCGACTGGAAAGTAAGTTGAGAGATCAAGATGCTGTCATCCGGCGATGAGGCGGAGATGGAGGATCTCAAGAGGCATGTCAAAGGGAAGGGTGTAGTTGGAGTGGGAACCACAGTGAGCGCACCCCATCCCGCCGTTCACGGAGGTCAGAGTAGCGAACGTACTCAGTCCATATCCATTACCAAAAGTTACCAAGGTTGGTGATTCCGACGCGGGTGCAGAGAAGTCTAGCGCGCAAGACAGCACTATAAACCCTCACGTCCGGAGACGACGTCGGAGGTACTCTTAACTCTGCTCAGTCAGAGGATTTTACGGGCGGTCCTAAAGGAGCGGGCT